AGAAGTAGCGTTGCCGTCTGTGCATATGTACACCGAAAACACGTAGGAATTTCTGTACTGAACAGATCGTAGGATGCTTTGAGAATGTTCAGCTGGGTTTTGAGGTCATAGACGTACAGTAGCTCTTTTTATGCATTACCTAGGCAATGGAACAATATAAGAGCATAATATAGAGAGTCGCTACTTGTATTTCAAGCATTGGAAAAACTGGTACAGCTCACACAGCCCAGCATAAGATTTTTTCGCGAAATTTTATCAGGGTGTCTCGTCTCGTTGAAATGTGATGTAGACTTAAGTATCTGTGGCGCTTCTTTCTCCATTAGTTCTAGCGATTGAAGATGTCAACACTACTTCCCTCAACATGTGTAATCGCAAACCTAACATAGTTGTTCAAAAGTCGAAAAATGAAATTTCTTTTATCATGCAGAACCATGTTCCCTTTACAAAGGTAATCCGACGCAAGTCCTTTTAAGTCGATAAGTGCCCTTTGCACCATCTGACTAAGCAAACATCACTTCAAAACCAATCTTTATAAGAATCGCGAGTCATCAAATTATCATTTTTATAAAAGATCTTTCAAATGGAAATCTTGGAGGGAGATATGTACATAGTTGTTTCTCTATTCATTTCTACTGAACCGAATGAAACTTTGAAATTAAAATAGTTTTCTCACAACCTTACTGGAGGTCCTTCTTTAGAAAAATAGTGCGCAATATATCTCCTAAAGGTTTGTCAGAATTATGAAAATTTTCAGGGAGAAAATCATGGAGAACGACCAGGGTGGGCAACAAAAAAAATGTTCTTATCTGCGTTACAGGGGAAATTTAACGTTACTCCTTCCTCGAGAGTATTCATGGCGATATCAACATTTCCAAAAAATTCCAAAAATGTTTTGGAAAAATTTGCTGGTCTTATTATTGTGTTGAAAAAGCTGGTCCCAATCGAAATGTGGTTGAACGACCGAATCCAAATTGAAAATAAAGATCAACACGTTACATCTAGTGTCCTAGGAGAGCCAATCAAAAGGACCTCTGGCTATGAAGCAACGACTGCAGTCGCTACTGAATGATCGTTCCTTTGATAAAACTATGTCCTCTGCAGCCAACAAGCTTCTTAAAAATGGCAAAGAAGAGAGAAATAGAGCTACCAGAAACAAGAAAGCGTTAAAGTTTCAGTCGGCCATTAGAAATCAAGCTACTTGTTATAGCCCCGAGGACGTTTTTGCTCTCCTAGTCTCATTGAGTTTGACATCATTGAATTGCGTGAGTATCATGTGCATTTTGAGGGAGATACATACTTGGACATTCACACCATAAATACTGTCCACTGTCCACTCAACTGTACTTAGAATGATCTCTAATGACAATTGTGATTATTTTAGAGAAATGTACATTTTCAGACTTTTGAAAAGCTAGATTCACATTTTTTTACCGTTGCGCACCATCTTAAAATATTATTTTCAAAACTCGATCAGTGCAAAATGGTATGAGCTTCTCACTGCAAAATTAAAAACATTTTTTTCTGTTCATTCAGATGTTCTTTTTGTAACTTTTTGAAACTACTTGGATGCCTTTGAGGCATCCTTCACGGTTTCAGCTTATGCTTATATCCAAAATCCAGACCTTTCAATGTGACCCACGTGAAAGCTTGATAAACAGAGTTCTGGTGATGTAAGGGTGAAGAAGGATGACCTCTCTCATATCTGCACATTATGAAATCCCGAGTGCTCGGTACAAATTTATTCTGGGTTTTCGCGTACCCCGCTGTGTTTGCAGAAATATCATTCCGGATATTAAACTGCAGCGTTTTCGTTGTTTTGCATCCAAAAGTAATTCACTGCATGCTGTGGAGGTATTTTTGCGCCAAAGCTGTTACTGAGGACAAGGAAGTGCTCTTTACAATTTACCCGTCTTACATTATGTAAAGCTAAAATAAGACCCAGCCAAATTTGCTTTCCGTAATACAAAATAAAGGCGTTTTTTAATTCCCTTTGGCTAAAAATTTAACGCGTCCTTGATGTTCATATAAGCAGTATAGCAATCCTAAAGGCAAATGCAATGTTGTTTATTGTGAGAATTTGTCCAACTGGAGAATGATTGGTTCAGAGTTTCTGATATATACGATTAACAACCTTGGAAATGCCAAATGTCAGAGTCACTTATTAAGTGAACTTTGTAGCACTCTGTTTCAAGCAAGATTTTGTGTATCATATATTTGTTATTATACTTAAATCCTTGAGAAACTAATATAACAAAAGTGAAAAAGAGATTTACATACAGTGCTTTTCAAAAAGGTTCCGATTACCAAATACATATGTGTACAGATCAAATTGGAAAGCCGAAATTCGGCGTGTTGAAATTTATGCTTGAATACCATTGTGTGTACGTCACCCAAAGCTAGTGTGTCAGTTTTGGGATTTTTGAGTTTTGTGTCGTGTTAAATCGTAGGTTACGTAGTTCTAAGGTAATAGGCTGGAGATGCTCGCTGGTATAGGAGACTTCTTCAAGAAATTTCGCGATCGTATCCTTGAATTTTAGCATGTCATTAAGAAATGCCCTGTAGATTTATATCAGAGATATTTCGGATGGCTGAATACGTATGCGTTTTCAACAGCTCCATCATAGATAAACAAATCACACTTGCAGTTGACGCTAATAGTTATTAGCAATTATATGACAATTTAATTTACATTATGATGCATATCGACATAATTATGGCTAATGGGATGTTATTAAATTTGAGCAACTATTGACAAACGATGGTACAATCAAGCACAGAAGAACAACAATTATTAATTATTTACAGTAGCACGAAACGATGACCATATTCCGTCTAGCATTTGCACTAGATAGAATCTTTTGTATTCCTATCAAGGATAACTGCTTAATCTGCGGAGACCTAATTGTTTATCCCAAAGCACCTGACTTCTGGCCATCACTACTAGTTTACTGAGCCATATACAGGGTTCGTTCAAAGGGCAGTTTATAGCGAAATACATGAGTTTACCTTGCCGATATGAATCGACTCCAATTTTGTTGTCGTTATTTAGAAGTATGAAGACTTCGAATTTGAAGAATTTCAAGAATCTGCGTGAAACTATCGTCGCATTACTAACAAGTGAATTATCTGACCGAGTCGGTCTACTTGCTTTTTAAAAAGATTTATTCTCGATTATCAAAATACAAGTCTATTGATGTATATAGTATGAGTACTGATCCAGGGAAACTTGATCCTCTTCTTTAAAGGTAGGGGTAAATCTTCTGTACTGTAACGAGTGCTAAAACCTGCATCTTGCTTCGGTTTTCGATCATTACTTTTTTACAATTAGTATAAATACCTAAAAATCCTATACGAAGAATTTTTTCGTCCCAACCAACACTTTAGATTGAATCCCAAAAACGCGTCTTCTCATTCTTTGTTGTCGAATAAAAGATTTTCCCACAAAAATTGTTGTACCAATTTTATGCGTCCATGGTTTAAATATCCCCCTGTGAAACTTGCATCAATAAAACCAGACTACAATTATTTCGCAAACCAGAGGTATTTTCGTCTGATATGATTAGCCTACATGTACATTGTTGGTACTAGGTGTAAAAGGTTTGGCAAAAATGAGAGTCACTACTTAACTTCTGGTTTTCTATTATTACAATGTAATATTTAATAGACACTTTCGGCCAGATGCTCTAAACAAGGTGTTTAGCTATAAATCAGTCAGCTCTCTAGCCCTTGTGATATGGACATTAAGAAAAAGTTTTTAATTATAATCTAATACATATTTTTTCATAAAATGCGTTTTTTGTATAGATGCCAGTTCTCTCAAACAGAATAGAGACACCTTCTATTATTATGGCTAGCGGGAAGTGTAACAATGTTTTACAACGTATAAATAAAAATCAGTCATCAGAATTCAAGTCAACTTAGTATACGTTTGTTTTTAGAAATGCTACAAGATCGCCCATTTCGATTTTTCCCTAAATTGAACGATAAATTCGTGCGTCACATAAACAAGTTGAAACATCTAATAACAGTAATTTGTATGCTGTGTATCGGAGCAATAAAAACTCTAATGCTTCGTTTCAGTCTATTATTAGTAAAAAACTGTCATGTTAACACAAAACACGTATTTTCCGAATGTTGGCACAACTGTTGGCAGAAAACACGTTTTTCCTCACTACCACAATCGCATAAATTTCTAAAGCTGTTCAACTGTCTGATAACAGATAAGTGTTCTCGTTAATGCAAATAGCTAAAAATTTAGGGTTGGTCGTGTAGCAAGAGAGTGGCTGACGGCTTACTTTGAATTTCAGATGTACTCTCATCTACCGAGTAATTAAATATTTGCTGTTGAACAGCGAACTCTCAGTTCTTTTAATCATATTCATGTAGACCTAATATTGCAGCTCTTTATTATGGAGGAAGCGACGTACAATCCACTAGACTGTCATTAAATGTTAGAAGTTGCATAAATCATTTTATGCTTCATCATAGATCTTAGTTACAGCTTGAGTCCCAATAAATTTAAAACGCTATTCAATTTATTTGTTCTCAAACCCGAGCCAGACTTCTTGTCTTTATCTTCGAGTATTAAAAAAAAGTTTCTATCTACGTTTGGGAACAGCGATGACACAAATTTAGGATATTTACTGATTTATACGCATGTTATAATCCTTACTAGCTATATTAGTAGTAGTAGTGTGACCCGACAGTCAATGCAAATTGGGATTCAGTTCCAAGGGACGGCTTAATGTTTTCACTCTCGCATTCTGGTAATAGATTGCACGTTGTGCTGTTTTATTTCGATCACTTTATTATTCTTACAATTAGGCTGCCAACCTTTGAGGAAAAATACAGGTTACATTCCTCTGAGAGTTGGATTAAACTACGGACGGCAGAATATTCGTTATTGACGTCCTTACACAGACATGCTTTTAGGGCTTATCAAATATTCATAGATTTATTGTTTCTAGAGTATCTGATATCCAATTAAATTTTCAATATAGGTATGTTGAGGGGTACACCGTTCTTGCGTTGACAGCCCACACAGGGAGAGACGAGGTGAAGGTTAGCGGTTGGAGTGCTTCGATACAAGCAATTTACCTGGATTAGTAGGTATCGGTTACAGCTACCAACTAATGTGTAAGGTTATAGCCCAACTGAAGGACGAAATTCAAGGTTGTTCTCAATGGGACGCCACACATTTTCAAAAGTCAACAATAAAAGGCACCATGTACAAAGCCAGAAAGATTTACTTGACTTCACTAAAAGGAATATGATATCCATTTGTCAAAAATGACGAATCCAATTTGGTGGACATAGTTGCAAGAAATATTCGGATTGATATATTTTGAAGATCAAAATAACAGATATAATATATACGTTTCGATTAAGGTTGAAATAAATTTCTTTTTTGTTTTGAAGGTGGCTGATCACGAATCTAGTACAGATTTTCGAAAATTTGAAATAACAGGTCCAACAGAGTGGACACATTTGCAAAACATGTGTCGATTCGTGTTTCTTATATTTTTGGTTTCTTATGACGGATACCGATTTTTCCGAAATCAAAATGGAAAAACCAACCAGCTGCAGTAAAAATTGGCATATTCCCCACCCGATGTGATAAACATGGCAATATTCGAAATAGAAGGAACTCGAATGAATGTTTTTTACTTTACTATGAATTACGGAAATATCAAGGCAGCTCGCTATTTTTGAACGGTGCGTCAACCACTTTTTCTATACGGCCTGTTCGACATTTTGACGTTTGATGCAACACTATAATTATGCATATAGAGCCATCTAAGTGGAACTTATGATCAAAAGATAAATTATGCATTCCCATAACTGTGAAAAAATCTGGAGAGGAATGCGAACACTTTATCAGGACTGTTGGTACAGGTTTTTGGTTCTCAAACCACTGTGGCATGTCAGTCTATTCCAAGTAGAGTAGCAAGGTTGATTTTGGACTAATTTTGTGACACTCCCACCTTTACTATCGGCTATAATCGTGTGCCTTGAGATTTGGGAAAACAATTTTCTATTAGTATTTTCCATGATACATCGTCCGGTCTAGTACGGTAGAATTCCAATCAAAATTACTTTTTATCGATTGCAACTATATCAAGCACAACAAAAATACCTTTTCCAACGCTGGCTCCTGCATTCAAAAAACTGTGTTTCATTTTTGCAACAAGCGATGTACGTTGACTGATATGTTTATTTCGTTTTTGATTTACCGTGTTAAGCATATCCATTTTGTTATTTGTGATACGGTTCGGCATATTCCGTTCGACTACAAATTACAAAACCAGGACAATTTACCACTGTACGGGCGACGTGCGTAAAAGCCACATAGATTAGGCTGGGTATTATTATTAATTTCACACGCAAGTTACGCCAAAATACTTTGTGTAAATATACTGGATGGTTTTGTTGGTGAAAATCGGTGAATACGGTATTAACCATTATTTTCTGTAACCACCATAACCTGGTGTTGATCTACGGGTATAACGGGCTTAGTTGCAAACAGAAAAACTACATATACTCAGAGACATTAGAAGTGTTACACCCAGAAAAAATAATTTCGTTAACTTGATTTTTTGGGAACGAGGTAGTAATAAGTAATAAGAAAAAAATATGATGATGTGTTTGTTGGGCGAACCCGTAGCTGAATACACTCCTGTATACATCTAGGCATCGACAAAATGAAATAATCGATCTGTGGTTGTGGCACCTACATTCCAACCAACTCGAACTCTATGAATAGGTATGGCAGAGTCTGTGGCGGATGATGCAAAGTGGGAAGCCTTCTCTCCATCATATGCCACACATCGGGTTTAAATCTGATGACCGGGGTGGCTACGGCAAAACATCAACGCCTGCTTCTTGAAGAAAGTCGGAGCAATATAGGGACGTGAGCAGTAAAGTGGTCAACATAACGCGCAGCAGTCATATTGCCTTGAAGAAAGAGAAGAGGTGTTCCGCTACCATAGGCAATAGCCCCTCAAATCATTAATCCAACAGTACTGTGTACTTGCCTCTCAAGAGCAAATCCAATACCACGCCGTTCTCCATGGCGGCGTCTTACCCTTCTACGGCCATCGTGCGTATCTAGACAGAATCGCGATTCGTCGCTGAAGATGACAATATGTCATTCTGCCCCCAATATTACTGTTCGCTGCTCTAGTTCAAACGTTGACGACAGTGGTCCGTAGTCAGAGGAAGCACTAACCGTGGATGGTATGAAAAAAGTCCAAAGGCTCAAATGCGGCGATAGAGTGTACGCATAGTAACGGTTCTACCTTCTTCTCCAAACCATTGGTCAGCGATCTGAGGCGTAGTAGCAGTTGGACCAGTTGGCCTTCTTCGTGTTCCTCTACTTTCTTCTATCCACACACGACACACACGCATCACCGTCCTGGCAGCACAATTAACACAGTTGCCAATTTCGCGATAGGACAAACTAACATCTCGATAGGCAATAATTCCATCCCTGTCAAATTCTGTACTACTCAGCTCTCAGAAACTGCTTTCCTCACAAAGACTAAGAAATAACATTTTAACAAAGGTAAACAAAAACAAAGATGAAACGTTGACATTGTTGTCACAGTAGGCTTCAAATACAGTCACTATGTTGCCAAGAAAACAACTTGAAAAAATTATTATTTTCTGGGTGTAACGCTTCTAATGTCACTGAGTATATATTTTGAGTGAACGTTTGCTCTGAAATTTATACCCGGTTTTGAAGTCTCATCCAGTTACTGTGAAGCGGTTGAGCGAATTGTGGGTTATTGTCATTATTGAACGTCGAATTGTTTTGATAATTTAGTTCAAAATGTCGTACAACTTGACATTTGCAAGAATATCTACAGCTTAGTTACTTGAAACTGAAATTGTGATTTGTTCAATGATTAAAATGTTAGCCAGGTAACTATTTATAGGGAAATAACAGATCGCGAAGAAGGTATACGTTGGATTAATTTGCCGAAAGCTGGACTCCATGTATTATCACGAGACAGTAGACTAGGTTCTCATTTTAGAGTATCGTACAAAACCGTGCAGAGGATTGTCCAGAAATGAAGTGCATTTTTGGAAGATAAGGAAGTGTCCCAAGATTACCTGGATGCTTCAGGGCTTTGATGGGTATTTTGTGACAAATCGCATCTTTATAATGGATGATTAGAAATATTGTACGCTGTCGCATTCAGAAACAGAAGCAAATAAAAGGCAATTATGGATTGTGATATTGAAAATTGTCCAAATAAAGTAAAATTTGAAACAATGCTAAGTTCTAGTCACAGGTCCTCAGGTTGGCGTGTCAGCACCATGTGTCAGTCGAGTTCCAGGTTAAGCTGTTAATGTCGAGCCTTATAACCAAAGATTCTCTCCGACTAACTTTACCAATCGTCATCACAATGGTGGAGTATTTTGATCTGACCTCGTTTTGTGCTATTATATTACGAGCTTAGGAATGGTGGGGACCGAATAACGTGAATTATGTACTGAGAAAAGACTCCACAAATGTATCAAGCTCGGCCAATAGAAGAATTTTGTCCGTTACTACGTCGAAATGTGTATTTCTTTTATACTGAAGCAGCCGCGCGGGCAGAAGCCTAAATGTCGGGACACCGCGGCTGCTATGAGGATCCCAAAGAAATTTTGTTAATCCGATTTTTGAACTGCCTAAGGTTAATAGAACTGGGAAAAGCTTCCTATTGTAGATTGTTCCACAATCTCGACACCCTCGGGACAAAGGAGCGGTTTTCTTTTTTCCAGCTCAGCGGCAGAGATCGGCCTGTCAGTCCGAATTAATGCATGTAGAGAACTGTTATCAGCGAAGCTATGGATTGGGTTGATCGTGCAGGAAAGGAGGTCGTTGATATGTGAGAGGGGCAGGGTTGGAGCCAAGACCGATCCGTGGGGAACATCCGCGATGACGTTGTGGGATGAAGAGAAGAACCCGTCAATTACGACGGATATCTTGCGGCCAGAGAGAAAGTCAGCCACCCATCTGCAAAGCTTTTCTGGGAGGCCATAGGATGGAAGCTTGCACAGGAGGGCAGCGTGCCACAGCTGATCGAATGCTTTCATGATATCAAGAGCAATGACCTGAGGCCTCACCACAAGACTGGATAAGTTTACTCCACAATTGCGTGACGTAAGCTAGGAGGTCCCCTGTGGATCGCTGGTGCCAGAAACCTGCCTGTCGCTAATCAAGCCGTGATCCATCACCTTACTTATAACAGAAAACAGAGCTATAGGCCTGCAGTTCTGAGGGTCGGTCTTAGATCTTTTTTTGGATAGGTTGGACATGAGCAAATTTCCAGGTTTCAGGGAAGGTGCCGGATTCATAAGATATCTGGAAGAGACGCGAAAGAACTGGAGCGAGCTCTGCTGCGCACCTTGACAGTACAATGGCAGGAATAAATCGCTGGTTTTTTGCATCGCGAACCGCTTCGTTATATTTGTTTCTGGACTCGACGTCGGCTCTGTGTGCCCTGATCTTCTGCTGGCGAGCAGTGTCACACGATATGTTGAACCAGCCGTTGGACCCTGGTTTAGGCACTTTCACTATACGAGGGATATATTCCTCCATTCCGACGGAGATAATTTCGGTTATCGAAGAACAGACAGCCGACGCATCTGCGTCAGAGAAACAAACATTTCTGCTGCCACAGCGGATTCTGACCGAAACCTAACCTCCAAAACACCGTGTTCTGAATTACCCAGTGGGAAGAGGACAGCAGTGCTGTAAGGGACAGCGATCCTGAATTCTACTGGCATGTGCCGAGACGCGGGGAAAAAGTAGGGCTCGTCGTTAGCTGAGTCAGCCTTTGAGTAAGAGTGAACGCTTCAACTCTACGACCTGCTGCATCGGTCTTGTTTGAGCCCAACCACAGCTCATTATCTGCATTGAAATCACCGAGGAGAACTACCTCTGAAGCGGAGCGATTGATGTTCAGGAAGTCAATTTTGACGGCGAGGTATTCAAGTCGGTCATCCCAGTTAGGTTAGAGGGAGAGCGATATAGGTAGCAAATAAATTTGGGGGATGTTTTGGAGCTGAGGTGAAGTCACAGAATGTCCTTCCGGACTGATTCCAAAGAAACATCTCTGGAGCAGGAAAGACTGCTGCGGACAAAAGCCACAACTCCCCCGTTCTTTCTCAGATTGGACTGCACCTGGTAATTTGAAAAGCTAAGATGGTTAATTAGTGCAGATAATGAGATTTTTGTATCCACACGATTGGATTGCAAGTAGTTGATGAACAGCACCAATGTTGCTGTTAATCCCGCAGATGTTCGCGAAACATGTTTTATCTTCGATGTTGTTCCCGCCAGTCCACCCTTCACCCGGACATTCCGAGAATGGAGCGAGTTTCGTCCGGAGTTCTTAGTAATCGAGGGATCTATCATCATTAATTTCTTTGCTTTAGCTTAGGTGTGGAAACACGCGGATATTTATAAGACACCATGGGATAAGCTAGCGGGTGGTACCGCCTTGCTCGACTGGTCCTTGTCTTCCAGCTTCTTTTTGCGTGTTGATGTTCAATGGACCTGAAGTAGCCCCTTGGGGTCCTGCAGCCTTGTTCGGGTCAGCGTCCCTAGACCGGCTGCCTTCTCCACGGCCGAAGGAGCTCGGTCTACCCCATCTTATGACAACGGATGATTAATCCAAAATAAAGAACAATACCAAGCGCGCGGTTTTGTCCAAAGGAAAATACAAAAGGTCTTAACCAAATTGCGTGCTAAATTTCTTTATTTTGTTGATACTACATTTTTCCATACGTCCAATACGTTACACATGCTTTTAGAACGTTTGATGAAGGAGAAGATTAAGACAAAATTTTTGCTAATAATGGACTATATCCAAGCTAGTTCTATAACAACAGATGATTACAGAAATCCTAGTACTAGATGTACATTCTCTCTCTCACTTCTTTACCTCCTATTCACATTTACTTCCTTTGAGTATAGTATCTTTCTCGAAACAGATTGCTGCTAATTGCAAAATGCTTGATCATTTTTGAGCAAACGGTCCAGATAAAAGTAACTAAATTTACCGACCTATATGACTTTTTATCAAAAATTGGGGAAGATCACCGCCTTTTGATCCATCAGATGCTAGACGTTAGGATTTCAATGCTTTTCCAAAACCGCCCTAAATGTTTAGATATACCATCGTAGCTTTCTAAGGGCTAACATAATAAATCATCTTTTCATGAAAGCTCCGACGTACTTTGACCTGAAATCATCTGCTTTTCTGCCTAAATCCATGAGAAAGGTAGAAATAGGTGGCTGAGGTTAGTTTTTAGGCCAAAAACATTTTTCTTGGAAAATACCTCTCACACTGGGATACGGAATATCAGTGGCTTATCATGATTTATATTATATAAACCAGTGCATTTTAGAAAATACAAACTCGACTGCAGTCACTAAAAAGATGATGAGATTGTGCTGTCATCATCTTCTGAATCAGTCGGGCCAACTCTATACAGTGAAAAGTAGAAACTAGTTCTTCCATAACAGAAATATTTATTGATATGGAAATATTTCGTAACATTGCTTTGCAATCATTTTTTCGATTCATTTATTTATTTAGTAAACCAATAGAGTAGAAGTGGAACTCCCACAAATAGAACTTAGAGGAGGTCACGACCTGACCTTCGTAGGACATATTTTTCAACGCGATTTTTTTTTTATAATGAAATTTGTTCCATGCATGAATTCAAAACTGGATGGTTTGTTTAACATTTTTTTGAGCAATTTACAAAAAATTGTGTTATTCGCTCAGGGAAGGTTTTTTTAGCTTTTTCTTAGATCGTTCTGATCAAAAATGATCATTTGTAGCTCTTATCCAAATTTGATCTTTTCGGGTTACCAATTTCAATGGTTAAAATCGCTGTTAAATGTGGTAATAAACTATTATTTTTGAGGTTGCCAAGTGCGTAAATTAAGATCCAAACCTTCCATTGCAAGACCCAAAAGTATTTTGAAATTAGTTACGTATGAAGAAAAATAAATCTCATTCAGACCCTATTTGGAGTAATGATAAGAGTATTAATTACCCTCAACCTTGGTTGACCTTTTTGTACCTCCATCGTCTCTCCGTATTCTTTTTAATTATCACGTTATAAGTCTGGACGAATCTCTCCTTAATATCAAATTAATTCCCTCTTTGGAATGATTGCGTTATAATGGAATTTACCTTCGAGCTAGAGACAGACGAATGAAACTTGGAACGAAGTTGGAATGAATTTGAAAAGCGGCTCAAATTGTAACCGAAATAACGAAAAGAGTCGAGACGAAAGTTTGGCGTCGAGAGATATACGAGTGTTGATCTTTATAATCTTGATACTTACATGTGATAAACTACATTCGATTTATGATATCTTCCTACATAATCCTTACTAAAATATGTAAAACATGCATTCGTAGTTGTCGCATAACTCATTTATTTTTAGAGAAACAAGAAATTTGGCCAATTTTCTAAAAAAGGTTTTATAAACAATATGTTGATTTCAAAATTGCACGATATATCCAGAACATACATTAAACCAAAACAATAACCAGTCGTCTTCAGTGCGTGATCAGCATGTTAATATATTTCAAGAAACGGGGAGCATAAACACTGAAGCAAACTGCTGTAAATGATTTTATGAAGATCATTAACTGGTTTGATAGTAAAATCTTAACAGATAACTTCAAAATATGTATTGTCTTACACCTTATTCAAAATTTTTACCTCGCTTTGAACAAATTTCTGTTAATCATCAGCGCCAAAAAGCAAAAATCGAGAGAGTTAACAGTTTAAAATATCTTGGAGCATTTATAGACTCACATTTAAGGGTGGATAACCATATTACATATGTTATCAAAAAATTAGAAATGTTGCATATAAAGAATGATTATCCTCATTGTACGACTATATTTAGGTCGTACAGAGAATTCCAAAGGGGCAATTTCACTCTGAAGGATGCTGAGAGGGAACGGCAGTAACAGCGGAAAATATTACTGCTGTAAGCAAAATGCTTGACGAAGACCGGAGAGTGACATGCCAACAGGTAGAGGAGACCTTACACCTTCATGAACCAGCAATTCATCCAATTCTGCATGACCATTTACACGTAAGGAAACTTTGTTTTCTCTGGTTACCGCATAGTCTGGCGGAAGAGCAGAAGACTGGTCGTACGACTTGGTGCCGAAAGATGCTGAAAATGATTGATACGG